TAAGCTATTTCCCGTTTAGACATCTGGAACCCGTTTTATTAGTCCGGCCTCACGTAATTCCTCGAAAATCGATATTATTTCGTTTGAAACGCCTGTATTACCAGCTGCCTTTGACGCTAGAAGTAGACGTAATCGATCGACCAACTCGTTTGGATTGTCCCAATACACTAAGTTATTTTTCTGTAATTTCATAGACAGTCCACTGCCCGAGGGAAATAATTTACTGATGATTGATGTATATTTAAAGCCACCCTTTTTTATTATTTTTCTTCCAATAGTTATATGTGCTGATGTTTGAATCAATATAGATTTATACACACCTATATCGTTGTCGGTATAAACAAGAGGATTTTTCAAAAATAATAACTGAATAAGACCCGAGGTTAAGTCATAAACAGTACCGTCAATAAGTATAGTATTTTCGGTGAATTTTACTTCTTTATCGCCCAATATAATATAGCCATTTGGAAGTTTTTTCGGACCGTATATTTTATCCAAGTCTGTAGACTGAAGCCAATTTTCAATTTCCTGTTGATAGTCGTCCGCAAATGAGTTTTTCGACCTGACGTTAATATTTTCTTTGTTTGATGTCAGCCCAGGTTTATTCGATATTTTAGTTAATGGATCGATAATTGGTTTTAATGTCTGTGTCATTAATTGTTGAACATTATCCGAACCGGTTTTCAATGCGATATATTTGCGTTTAATACTTTCCTTAGCTTTGACAAGCTCATCTAGAACAGTAGTTGCTTCCGTCATGACTGCGTTATAAATGATAATATTTATTAATTGTATCGCCTTATATAACCACATAAGTATCAAACCCAAAACGATAACGTCCGTTATCACGCTCACAGTCTTTACAAATAACAATAAATGTAAACATCTCACGGTTCCAACATGTCATACAAACATTTTTAAATTGTATATATGTCATGTCTCCTGAACAGTGCTCTTGATATATATGTTTTAAATTAGTTTCATCTTGTTTGAACAACACTATTAAATTTGCATTATCGCGTATCAGCTGTTTAGGTACTTTTGAATAGCTCTGAGCTAGGTAAAATATATCAATTTTATTGTGGCGACCTCGAGAAAAATAATCTCTTATTACATTTTGTTGTTCGCCGATAACATCATCCAAGATAAAAATTGAGTTCGGTAAAACTTTCTCGGGTGGAATTACTTTATCATTCTCGAAAAAGGTAAAAATGTTGATACCATCAATACCGTCAATAATACGTTTCAGTAATTTATATTTTGGTTGTTCTAAGGTCTTAGAGTATATGTAAACGTTTTCAAATCGCAAACCGTTTTCATCGACGAGTAGAAAATACATCAGATTTGTTTTACCACATCCAGAGCTACCAAGTACCAACGACCTTATCGTATTTGGGAAAAGTTCACCATGTCTCAGCTGAATTGTCTCGGAGGTATCAATGTTATAAATCCGAAGTTTTTTCTCTTGTTCAATAAAGCGCATTTTTTTTTTTAATTTTTCACTATAAATACAGATGCAAAGTTATCGAAAGCGTCACACGATGTCTCGAGTTCGTAAGCGAAACAACAATAAAGGATCCGGTCTTATTAACTCTGTTATAAATCATTTACCCGTGGAATTGCATTTACCTGGCTATAGGTAAGTCACTACATAATATTATTGTTATTAAATCCTGTCTACATTTTATATATATATTTGTTATAGATTTGCCGGTCCTGGAACCAAATTAAAAGAAAGACTAGCGCGTGGAGAACGCGGAATTAACCGTCTGGATGAGTTGGCCAGAGCCCACGATATCGCATACGATGAAAGTAATTCACTAACCGATAGACACAGAGCGGACGAAGTATTAGAAAATCAGGCTTGGGAAGTGTTTAAATCAAAAAACACAGGTATCAAGGAAAAAGCTGCGTCTTGGCTGGTCACTACAGCCATGAAGGTCAAACGTAAGATGGGAGCTGGTTGCGGATTTAAACAAATGGTTTTGGCTGCTAAGAATTCGATCAAAAATAAAATGAACGAAAAAAATATAACTAAATTAGTAAAAACATGTCTGTCAGCTGCAAAAAAATCTAAAAAATCTAAAAACAAGAAGACTAAAACTCCAAGAATTATACCAATACCGAAAAGGGGCGGTGTCTTACCATTAATACCTATTTTTGCTGGTTTATCAGCATTAGGTGCGCTTACCGGAGGTGTCGGTAATATAGTCAAAGTCGTGAAAGAATTAAATTCTGGTAAAAACACTCCTATTCATTTAGGCAAAGGCTTATATCTAGCACCTCACAAGGGTAGTTCTTATAAAGTCGTAAAAGGAGAAGGTTTATACCTAACACCATACAAAGGTGGATCAGTTAAGAAGTCTAGAAAACCACACAAGGGTCAAGAAGTCAAGAAGTCTAGGTCAAAAAACTAATTGTTACGTTACCCGATAGAGCGTTGTTCGATTATGAGGTTATAAAATACGCTGCCATGTTGAAAATACCTCATTTCATTGGTGTATTTTCTAGAGACAAGTTGTCGCAACGTTTAAAAAATCAAGAGTCGGCTGTAGTTAATTTAGACACTGAAATTGGCACAGGTACTCATTGGGTAGCGTATAAGAAAATCGGAAAACAAGTTAAATATTTTGACAGCTACGGAAACTTACCCCCTCCGCTAGAATTACAGAAATATTTCAACGGGTGCAGTATCGAATATAACTACGATAGACATCAAAAATATAATACAACAAACTGTGGTCACTTGTGCTTACAATTTTTATCATGTACACTATAACGTTAACCGGCAACTCGAGTGAATTGTCATGCGACTTTTTTCCACCTATAGAAGTCAGTAAAAACGCGAAAATCTGTCTGCTGGGTTTTCAAACAAATAATTCTATACCTAATGTAAACGAGAAATGCAATAGAATAGGAATCACAAATAATATCTCAGGTAAGCGTACAAGCGAAAGCTATACAATACCCACTGGATCTTATGAGTTGAAGGAAATCGAAGCGGCAATAATACGTGTATTACCTAATTCAGATACTTTATTCGTGTTGAGAGCAGATAATAATACATTAAAATGCACAATGTTTTGTAGCGAAACTGTTGATTTTTCCATGTCTAATGGTATAGGAAAATTGTTAGGGTTTAAAAATCGTAAGTATGATGCTAATGTCAATCACGAATCAGATGCGTTGGTCAATATTACAAAAACAAACTGTATATATATCGACTCAAATCTGGTTATGGGTTCATTCGTTAACGGTAAGCAGTGCCATACAATACACGAGTTTTACCCGAATGTACCTCCAGGTTATAAAATAATAGAGGTTCCAACACATTTGGTATTTTACCCAATTAATTCTACATCTATAACGCACGCGAGTATAATTTTAAAAAATCAAGACAACGAGTTGATCGATCTACGAGGCGAGCCAGTATCGATACGATTATTAATTCAAGACTTGTGATAAACAATGGGTCTGCAATTTTGTAATATAAATAGAACTGCGTATGTAAAACCTGTCACTCGTATTAAAACCACTAGCAAGGTAACATCTCCGAAGAAGAAGAAATATTCGAGACGTAAACAAGTTGATCATAGTCTAACAGCAGATAATTTGGATTTTCTACGCTCGCTGAACGCTATTTAATATGGACGATTTGTATTTAGATGTAACGGCTGGATATACCGATGATTGTAAAATAACTCAAATTGACTATCATTCTTTTTTACCGTATTCAACATCTGCTCTTTCTAATAACGACGAGGTGCGTATTGCTCTGCATAACACAGAGTCTTATACTTTACCATGTGAGAGTTATATTTACATCGAGGGGACAATAATCAAACCTGTGGAAATAACTGACGAGATTAGATTCATAAACAACGGACTGGCATTTCTTTTCTCTGAAATGAAATACGAAATAAACGGTACTCAAATTCAGAAACTCGTCAATCCGGGTATATCGACCACATTAAAAGGATATTGCTCGTATAATAAAACAAATATTTCATCGCACCATAACGCTGCTTGGGATAGCGAAATTAAATCTGCTAATAAAGATTTTATCGATAACGACCATTTTAACGGATGTATTAATCTTAAAGATTTGTTTGGTTTTTGTGAAGATTATAAGCGAATTTTAATAAACTGTAATCAGCAACTTGTATTGAATAGAGCATCGATTGATATGAATGCCATCAAGCAGTTTAAAAATAATGAAGTTGTCGCAGACGCTCCTAAACTGAAAGACGTTAAAATAAACATAACAAAAATATTGTGGCGGATGCCTATAGTGAGAGTTAGTGATAGAGAAAAAATTAGACTGTTGAAAGTAATCAACAATCAGAAACCCCTGACATGTGCTTTTAGATCGTGGGAACTGTGTGAGTATCCATTTTTACCTCAAAACACTTCGCATTCGTGGAAAGTGAAGACATCCAACAAATTAGAAAAACCTCGCTATGTAATAATCGGATTTCAAACCAATAGGAAAAATAGCTCGATTAAATCAATGTCATATTTCGACCATTGTAAAATTAAAAACCTAAAGGTCTATTTAAACGCTGAAGTATTTCCCTATGAAGATTTTCAAAGTGACTTTACCAAGAACAAGATGGCGACATTATACCGCGCGTATGCCGAGTTCCAAAAATCTTACTACGGCCATGACGATGTGAAACCGCTATTGAACCGAGCAGATTTCAAAAATCTGTCTCCAATTATAGTTGTTGATATGAGCAGACAGAACGATAACGTGAAAACATCAACCGTCGACCTCAGGATTGAACTAGAAGCAGACGAAGCGTTCCCAGATTCAACATCCGCATATTGCTTAATATTACATGACCAAATTATAACTTATAATCCATTTAATGGAGAAGTAAGAACCTTGTAAATACTTATTGTAAACCTTACTATTATTTTAATAAATAAAAAAAAAACTTTTTTTAAGTACCATGCTTGTTTTATTTTCACATAAATTAGTTAATTTCATACAAATATTAAAATAGACGTCGCTTAACATCACGTACTGGCGTCGGATGGTAGGCGAAGGTTGAATGAGATCGTTTGTGTGATGGCACTGGATGATCGGTGTAAGTTGGATAAGGTTGTGGTGGTGATATCGTCCTGAATTGGTAGAAAAAATCAGGCCCATCGTTTACGTCGCACGCCTGCGGGTTGCGAACCTCGTCAGATCCGTCCATATGATCTAGTGCCTGGAAAAAATAAATATAAAATAAATATTGTGTTTTTATTTTTAAAACTATGTTTATATAAATTACCTTAGCTAAAATATCATCCTTAGGCTGATTAAATCCATCACGTGCAGATGAATCGTCGTGCATGCTTAATATATTGCTGACCGGCGAATAGCTTGACGACGTTGGTGTATCCATTTCACCATTCTGTAACTAAAATAAAAAAGTTGTATTAAATATTTTTTTACATGTACTACTGTATTTATGAATTACCTCATGTGTCAACTGTTGTAACACAGTTTCTGCTAGTTGTACGGTTGCATACATTTGTATTTGACCGATCATGTTTGGGTAAATTTTCTCCGTTCTATCGTCTTGTATTTTTTTAACGAATATTAACATATCTTCTAAATTTTTCGGTGGTGATTTAAGGCAAGCAGATTTCTCATGTAGATACATCGCAAAATCGTCAAACTGTCTTTTAATTACTGGAGCAGTGGTTACTTCTTTCCGTACAATACTTTCGAAAATACTACATTCAAGATATTGAAGCTTCATAAAGTCCTCCCGATTTAACAGTACTCTGCACCCGTCCTGAGTTTTTGACTCTATTACTAGCACGTTTTCTCCACAATACACCATACTGGATATTTTATGAAATTCAGTCTCAAGAAATATGATGCGCTTGTACTTCTGGACCGTATCTAGTATAAATGATAAGATATGCCCCATCATAGAGAATATACGTCTCAGGAAATCCGGAGATATTTTAACATGGCGCGATGGTGTTAATAAATGAACGGTGACTTGAAAATTATCAGTAGGATCGATACCTACAAGTATAAATTTGCGAGCTGCAAAGTTGATCGTGTAGCTTGTGGTTTCGATGAGTTCAGCCGGTGGTGATGGTGGTACATACGTAAAGGTCTTTTTCTTGTATAATGCAGCGTTGTCTTCGATTGAACCAGCCATGTTTTTAAAAATTGTTTATTATAAAAATAATAAAGACTTGGAAAAATTTTAAACACTGAACCACTATTATAAAGACTTGGATAAACGCGGAGGAGAATCGTACGTGTGTACACTTGAAGACAGACTGACTGAATGCCGACTCTTGCGGAGCCTATAAGTGTCCGTTTCACATTTACGTGCAGTAGATATTTCGCATATTCAATAATATAGGTTTATTTAGTGATTTTCGGCTATTTTAATAAATCTACAACATACTAAAATAAAGATATGCGTCATATATTTTAATTTCACACTCAACGTTACCAACGCATGCTATCATTATGATACATTATAAACAATTTTAAAACTACGGCAAAACATGTTGTAGATATTTCTCATATTCAATAATATACGTTTATTTAGTGAATTTCGACATTTTTAAAAAAACCTACACCGTAGTAACAATAGTGGTATACGGTATATATTTCTGATATTTAACAATATACGTTTATTTCGTGAATTTCGACAAAATCGTAATAATCTACACTGTACTAATAATTACGTTATGTTGTAGATATTTCTGATATTTTTCGATTTACGTTTATTTCGTGAATTTCAACATTTTTGACATTTTTAAAAATACCTACACCGTAGTAACAATAGTGGTATACGGTATATATTTTTGATATTTAACAATATACGTTTATTTCGTGAATTTCAACATTTTTGACATTTTTAAAAATACCTACACCGTAGTAACAATAGTGGTATACGGTATATATTTTTGATATTTAACGATTTACGTTTATTTCGTGAATTTTAACAAAATCGTAATAATCTACACTACAGTTACAATTACGTTATGTTGTAGATATTTCTGATATTTTGCGATTTACTTTTATTTCGTGAATTTTAACAAAATCGTAATAATCTACACTGTAGTTACAATTACGTTATGTTGTAGATATTTCTGGTGGCGGTGACAGCTGCTGATAATTTGACGGTTGTTGATAATCGTTATCACTATTAGGTATACGTCACGCACGTGCCCAATAATCGTTATCAGTGGTAAGAAGTGGTTACTGATTAGGTTACTGATAAGGCCAACATATTTACTTCGCGCACGTGGCCGATAACTGTTATCAGTGGTAAGTAGTGGTTACTGATAAGGAGTGGTTACTGATAAGAAATGGTTACTGATAAGGAGTGGTTACTGATAAGGCCAAAATATACGTCGCGCACGTGACCGATAATCGTGTGTGTGTGTGTGTGTGTGTGTGTGTGTGTGTGTGTGTGTGTGTGTGTGTGTGTGTGTGTGTGTGTGTGTGTGTGTGTGTGTGTGTGTGTGTGAAGTGTGTGAAGTGTGTGAAGTGTCAGCGGTCTGAACCCCCCAAATCATACTACTCTTAAACACTTAAACGCGATACCTACAATAGCTTTACATATTAAATTGTTGCAACTTGCAGAGTTCATACATGTTTTTGAAAAAATATATATATTTTTTTTAATCTCGTGAGTCTTGATGGTTGTGGAAAATCAATATGCAGCTGTAGTAACACAAGAATTATTCATTTGAATACATATTTAATTACTATATTTAAAGATTCTACATTGTAACATAAGTATGACGGTATGAGAGTTTTTTGTTGACAGAGGAGGTAGTATATTATCCATTATAAAAATGAATAAATTAATAAATAAATTAAACGTTAAAAATTCGATAGTAAATATACTATATACATTACAGTATTACACATTTATACTATTCGGTAAAATAATGTAATATTATAAAGAACGCAAATTCTGTTATTGTTGGAGACTTCAACGAATGTGACCATAGGCGTGCGCACGGGGGGGGCCGGGTAGGCCGCGGCCACCCCTGCGGCCTCTGGCATTTTCTTTAATATATAATCTATACAATACTAGATAGTGGTAATATTACTAATATTATCATATTGCAAATGGCTGCCAGCGTCATTGATAAGAAGAAGGTGGTTACTAATTAATCAGTTATCAATTTATCATCGATAATTTTATTATCGATAACATTATTATCACACAATACTCTATACTCTGATATCAAGTATCAACTACAACGTTATACTACTACATAGTATTCTTATTAGTTATTACCTACATTTAACTATTTTCACTTATACAATATATTATATTATTTTTTATAATGAGTGACAATAAGAAAACCGTGTCAATCCATGATTTCTTTCAAAAGAGTACAGTTAGAACTGATATTGCTAAGGGTAAGTAAATTGTATTAATATGTTATACAAGTAACAGTAAGATCTAGTGAGATCAAGTTAGATGAAAGGTTCGATACGATATTGATTTAGTATTTAATTACTGTAATAAATCAAAATTTGTTATTTATAATTTAGACAAAACTATATCTAAAGAAGATGATAATAGACAACCCAGTGCCTCTACTTCAAAGAAAGTCAATCCTGATATTGCTAACCCAGCTACATCTGAAGAAGGTATCACATTTATAATGAGTGACAACCGTGAAGAAAACCGTGTCAATCCATGATTTCTTTCAAAATTTCTTTCAAAATTTGTTATTTATCATTTAGACAAAACTATATCTAAAGAAGATGATAATAGACAACCCAGTGCCTCTACTTCAAAGAAAGAGATATACTTCAATCCTGATATTGCTAACCCAGCTACATCTGAAGAAGGTATCACATTGATGTTTTATTTCAAATTACCTATTCATATTTTGTATTAACCTAATCTATTTATTTGTCTGTATTACATGTTTAAATATAATATTGATCTATGTTATTGAAAAAATGTTGTATGTTTTATTTCAAATTACCTATTCATATTTTGTATTAACCTAATTTATATGTGTTGTTCTATGAGTTCATTTAGTAATGAATTTTAATGGTCAGTATGTTTGCAAGTAAATTAATGGTATATAGGTAATACTAGTGTTAAAATGTTTTACATGTTCAAATATACTAACCTATGTTGTTATGTTTATTACTTATTAACATTTAGATATTGTAAAATATATCACTTAACAAAAATATTATATTTTGCATTTCAAATTACCTAATTATAAAAAAAAAATACTTTTGAACATAGGTTATGGCAAATATGATTACTTACATCCTGATGATCCTAAAACAAGTATCCCAAAGAATCAAATTGAATTTAAACAACGGGTTTTAAAAGGACCATATCAACCAGTTTTAAAAATGTTCCCAAGGACAACATTTGGCAATGTGAATAAGCTACGCAGTTTTCAGCTTTCTTGGTATAAATTGTTTCCTTGGCTAGAATATAGTCCAAAAGCAGACCTAGCTTTTTGTTTTCCTTGTCGAATGTTTAGTGGTGCCACAGGACTTAACACTGGCCAGACTGAAATAGTATATTCTAAAACAGGATTTCGGAATTGGAAATCAGCTACCCTAAAATTTAATGCCCACCAAAGAACTAAGGTTCATTTAAATAGTTCTTCAGCTTTATCAAGTTTTGTGGATTCCAAATCAAGTGGCATTGATGTTCTTTTGGATAAAGAACGTGAACATATTATTAGCCAAAAGGAGATTCATCGACTAAAAAATCGTGAAATTGTTAAACGACTTATAGATATTATACTTTGTATATGTATCGGTGGTAAACCATTGCGTGGGCATACAGAAAAAACAGATGATGTTCACAAAGGTCTTTTTCTTGATATTGTTGGTCTTTTGAGAAAATATGATCCATTGTTGAATGAACATTTCGTATCCGGACCAAAAAATTGTATGTACACAAGTAACCGCATTCAAAATGATTTGATATCATCAGTTAATTTAGTAATTAGGAAACAGTTACAAGACATAATATTTGATAGAAAAGTTTCTTTAATAGCTGATGAGACAAGTGACATAGGTCATCATGAGCAATTATCTATTGTTTTACGCTACTTTGATGAAACCAAAAATTGTCCTGTTGAACAATTTTTATGTTTAAAACGAATGACATTGGTCGATGCTCAAAGTATTTTTGATAAAATGAGTGATGTCGTTCAAGAATATGGCATTAAATGGGAAAATGTGGTGTCAATTTGTTTTGATGGAGCATCAACGATGTCTGGAAGTACTGGAGGAGTGCAAGCAAAGTTTAAAGAAAAAAATAACCGTTCATTTTTTGTCCATTGTTACGGTCATTGTCTAAATCTTGTTCTG